CCCTCGGTCACTTCTGAATCTGAGCTATACACCGTGGAGGCCACGGTGTCGTCGTCATTGTGGGAGTATGTTAGAGGTCCGGCTGCAGAACTTCTCCGGTTCTTCTTTTGGTGCATGTCGCGTTGGTCGTCTGGCGACCCTGGTACGATGTCCTCTGTCTGATCTGGTGGAGTCGAAGGAATGTCACGATCATCTTGCTGAGCTTGCGAGCGTGAGGCCGACGATGACGTCCTTCGTGACGAATTGTTGGATGCATTCGCATTCTGCATGTATTCGATTTCGTGGAAAGTGTGAAGCGTAGCCTCTGCAGCAAAGGAGACCCTGCGATTCGCGAGCGATTTTCTCCGTGCCTCACGGCGATCTTTGATCTCCTGCTCCTTCTCGAGGGCTTTCTCGCGCTCTTCTCGATCCCGAGCAGCAGCTTGCTGCTCTTCCTCTGTCCGCAAAGCAACCTTCGTCCCTGAGGCGCTAGAGGGATCATTGTGGGACTTGTCAGATCCTTTCGCCCGAGGTTTGTGTGGAGGTATCTCGGGAAGCACCGGTATCGTCGGCTTGAGGATTGATCTTGGCGGTGGCCTCGAGGGTGCAGCCAGCGACTGTTTGGACAGATGTCAGCGGACGGTTGCGATCCCGCGTGCAAGACTACTTACAACGCGACGGTTGCCAGCACCTGCCTTGAGTCCGTCCAGGCCGCCTGGACCTATACTCTTACTACGAAGCTTCTTGCGACCGGCATTACCAGCCAAGGAGCTCGCCAAGTCGACAGTGATGTTCTCCTTCTCTATCCTCTTGCGCACAGGGGAGTTGCCGGTGGACTTGCGAGGGCGCCTAGTAGCAGGCAAAGTTGTATCCGCGCGACCTGCCATTATGACAGTCAATCGTGCGCTGTGTAGCGCAGCGCGGGGTGCCGAGTTCGAAGTCGAGATCAGATGTTGCTGGTTGTTGGCATCACCACTTTAGGCACAGGTGGCGGGCACGCGATGCACATGTAAATGGTGGTGGGGAGCGCGTCGTCCCTTGATTGTTGCAAGGGTGCACCGCGGCACGGGCAGCGTCATGTTTATTGGTGGGCAGCTGGAAGTAAACAAGCCATCTGGACCGGGCCCACATCTTAAGAGCGAGACAAATTAGGTACAACTTGAGAACTCCGGTACATTAGTTCAGCAAGGCTCCGTTATGCTGAAGCAAGAAAATTGGAAACGAGGAATGATCGTTGACCGATGGCATTAGCAAGACTTTGAGCATTACTTTTGGGCAGGTGAGCAGACGGGGCCAACGACGTGTCGGAAACAGGCTTGCAGAAGCAAGGACGAGCAGCAGCAAAGGGCACTGTCGCGTGAGGCAAAGTCAAGATTCCTCAGAGCACCGGGCCTGATAAACGTCTGCCACAGGAAGCTCGGAGTGATGTGATGCGATGATGCTCGACGATATGGGTGTCCACCAAGTCCACCACGCCAACACCAACCCTTGCCTGGGCGAAACTGGAGCAAGCAGGAAAGCCCCGCTGCAAAGAGTGGATCGTACCAGCCACATGAGGCGCAGGCCCAACCTCTGCCTGCGTCTGCACAAGGAAGCGACTGCCCACAAAGAAATGCAAAATTCGGGTTTGAAAATTACCTGGGCCGGAATTTTGCAGGGCGGGCCTCGACCATCACACCCAACCACACATCTCCGAACGACAACCACCGCCAACCCACCCCTTTGCGATTCACGACAACCGACAAATCGCAATCATGGCCACCGAGTTGACCGTCCAGTCTGAGCGTGCTTTCCTCAAGCAGCCGCACATTGGTCTTAAGCCCAAGACCAAGGTCAAGGCTGCGAAGCCCGGCCGCAAGGGCACCCGCTTCTACAAGGATGTCGGTCTCGGCTTCAGAACCCCCAAGACCGCCATCGAGGGCTCCTACATCGGTACGTGACGCTGCGCACGCGTTAGTTTCCTCGGATTTGGTTAGGGACAGGAGAGGATCAGGAGGATGACACGGAACCCGACCACATATCGACATATTCTCCGGGGGGGTCAACGCGGCTTCTGCCCCCACAACACGAACAACTTTGGGAACCGCGCGACTACCAGACGACTGTTGAAGATTCGAGGATTGCGGGATCGTTGGAATTAGGCGCGGGAAGAACCGTTGTCGCGAGGAATTGCTGGCTGACCAAGGTCTTTCTCTTGCAGACAAGAAGTGCCCCTTCACCGGCCTTGTCTCCATCCGTGGCCGTATCCTGACCGGCACCGTCGTTTCCACCAAGATGCACCGCACCATCATCATCCGCCGCGAGTACCTCCACTTCATCAAGAAGTACGCCCGTTACGAGAAGCGCCACAAGAACCTGGCGGCGCACGTCTCGCCCGCCTTCCGTGTCCAGGAGGGTGACCAGGTCACCGTCGGCCAGTGCCGACCTCTCAGCAAGACTGTACGTTCAATCACAGCGATTGGTCACGGTGACTCGATCGTCAAAAGAGACCAATCCCGCTCTCCGCGCACGAGACACATGTACTGACTTTCCATACGCAGGTCCGTTTCAACGTTCTCCGTGTGCTTCCCAGAACCGGCAAGGGCGTTAAGAAGTTCAGCAAGTTTTAAATTTGGGGATATTTCTCGGGCATCACTGGCGTTGTCGTTCCATGAGGATTCTTCACCATTAGCAGATTCGGAACGGGTGGTTCAAAAGGTTCTGCTCCGACAAAAAAAGATCAATGTCGTGCCGGTAGAATTGAAAAATAAAAGGAATACCAAGCATCTGCTTTTCACGAGTCACGATCCGTTCGACCCAGCCACGATGTTCGCGACAACCACAAGGTTCCAATCTTCCTGGTCAAGGACCAAGACTAGCAACTCCGGATGCCGCGTCAGCGTAGTCTTTGCGCCTGATGCGCCAATCTCCAAGCATTTGTGGATGGGAATTAAGCCAAGACATCGGAACGTTCCTCCAGACCCTTTGATTGTGCACAGGAGCGCGCCGGTCTTACGCGATTTTTGAGAGATTGTCTTGCGAACCGTTGTAGATAATGTAACGTGAAATGACTACAGCTTAATGAACATTGAAACGCTCAATACAATCTTTGATCATGACAATGCGCATGGGCAAGCTTGTGAATGGCCCAGACGAGTTCACGGTCAGTATCGCGGGCAGGAGCGGCTGCAATCACGAAAGAATGGAGACTCGAGCAAGGTCCAGCCTCGACGCTCAATGTTCCGATGTCCGACAGAAGCAACCTTGAAGTGTGATGCCTGTCCTCGGAATGTGATAAATGTGGGGCTTGCTTGGGATTTATTTTCGATGGGGGGGCAGATTGGGGTCGGCGGAGCTCGACTTGAAGACCTCTAGGTTGATGTTCGAGAAACCTTGCCTTGCGCCGCCAGATCACAAACCCGGCCAACAATCGTGCGACTTTTGCCAGCTACGACGGCACGTAGACTTGGAGACCGCCTGGAATCGCCGGGGCACACAGAAGAGGCCATGGGCTGGTGGAACAGCCTCTGGTCGTCGTCCTCGAGCGACGACCCGCTGGCCAAGCTCGACCCGAAGCTGCGAGAATACCTCGAGAAGGAGTCGCCAGTCAGATACAACAGCAACAATGCGGCAAAGTCAACAGCACCCAGTCCGTCTTCTAGAGCCACGTCCGCCGAAATCGAAGCGGCGAGGCAAGCCTTCATCGAGTCCGACAAGAGCGAGCCCGTGGTCCCCGCAGAGAGCCTGTACCAGGACGGCCGCTATGCGCACCTGTGGAAGTCGTACAAGCCGCTGGGCCAGATCGAGAACGAGACCAAGAGCGACCACGAAAAGTTGATGGACGTGCTCGAGGGATTCAAGGACCGGAAGGAGCAGATCGGCCGGGCGGCGCTCGAGAACTGCGCTCTCGAGCAGTCCGACTGGCGGTCGTGCATGTCGAACCCCAGCGTCACGGAGCGCCTGACGCTGTGCCGCACGCAGGTCAAGAAGTTTGAAAAATGCTACACACAGCAGACTGTAGGTTGGATCTGCATGCCCCAACTGCGAAGGAGATAGTTGCTGACCCCTTCAATGCGCGCTGCAGAGATTATTAAAAGCCCTCGGCTACCTGTCCACAGCCGACCGCTCGCCACAACTCGAGGAGGACATCCAGATGCATGCCGACGCGCTGTACCAGAAGATGCAAGCGCAAGAGGCCGAGATTGATGCTGCAAAGGCCGAGGGCCGGCCAATACCGACCTTTGCGCCCCTCATCCCCAAGCAGGCGGTCCGCAGCCTCGGCCCCGAACGCGAGCTGACACAGGAACAGCAGGCGGATCTGCGCGCGCGGCTGTTGAAGGTACCCGAGGAGGAGCGAGCAGCCGAGGAGGCAGCCATCAGGGCCGAGTTCCGATCTAAGGCGGAGATTTCTGCAAGAGTCCACGGGCTGTGGGAGCAGCAAGAAAAAGAGCGTATCGAGCGAAAACAGATGGGACAGGAGACAGTCTGGGATCGTGTCTCGGGGGTGTTCCGGACAGGCGAGAAGCCCGCCAGCACCAATGGCGCGGCGGAGAAGAAATAATGCTCAGCCACATTCGGGGACAGCACTGATCTCCGTCTGCCGTGTATAGTTTAGAGACCAGGGGGACGGAGTCTGGGGTCAAGATAACTGGATGTACTAATGTCATGTAACAAATTTCTGTAGCACAGCACATAGATCATGATGAACGACAGTACGAACCTCTTGAGGAGGTAGCACTAATTACTGAGACTTGGATCTCGTGCGCAAAATCCGACGAGAAACGAGAATCTTTCCTAGGTGATGGTTCACACTTGCGACCAGTCTCCTACAAGACTTGCAAGTACTTCAAGGTTGGGTTGAGCTTAGTAGTTGAGGGAGGCCAAGCCAGGTGCAAGTGATGCACACCTGTAACAGCCTGTGGTTAACAGCCAGTGACACGACCTTTTGGTAACCACAGCAAAAGCGAAGCAGTCTCAAGCAAAAAAGAAACACTCCTACGTGTATTACCCCACCAAAGCAACGTCGACAAAAACATCAAAACTGATCGATGCAGGGATCGAACCTGCGATCCTCCGCGATCATCTCTCTTGTAGAGAGGGAGGGATTGTAAAGCGGATGCCTTAACCACTGGGCCAATCGACCGTTCTTATTGGACATACCTGGGGCGAAGGTTATCATAGTCTATCAACATTCAAAGTGCAGGCCCCAGTGAGGACTGCCAGAGCTTGCATAGCTCCGCCCAAGCTCTCCTCCTGAGGGGGTGGTTGGGGTCTAAATCTCGAACAACATCACAGCCGACCATGAACAGCACACGCACAGCTAGGACAGTGCTGCAGGGCAGCCTTCTGCGGTGCGAGAGAGCTCAACTGTAAGTGCAATGAGTACTCAGCTGGGTCTTCTTTCTGAGGAGCATGCGAGGCATTCATCTCTCATCCTGATTCAACCTTTGGAGACTAACACAACTCTGACTCTCAAGGTTGAATGTTCGAGCTCCATTGCAGGCTATTAAGGGGGCGGCACCTTTCTGTCATTCCTCAACCACCCACACACCTTCCGCTAGGCCACGGCAGCCATCCCAGCAGCATGTAGCGAGATCCCGCGGCGGCGGCGCATGCCGGACCATCCACAGCACCTCCGCCCTCTCCAAGAAGTCGCGAGAGAAGAACCAAGTAGAGGACACGAAAGGCGGCCGGGGCGGCGGCGGCAACAAGAACAAGGGCAAGCAAGCAGCAGCGTCCACATCATCGGGAGCAGGAGAAGAGGACGACACCAAGGGCGGCCCGACGGCGAACCCGGCGGACCCGCTCAACTTCGGCGACGTCAAGGCCCGGCACGAGAAGCAGTCGGAGCACTTTGTCGAGAAGCTCAAGAAGTTCCGAGCGGGCGGGCGCTTCAACCCGGACGTCATCAGCTCCCTGCCCGTCGTGACGGACAAGGCCACGGGGGAGTCGTACCCGCTTCGGGAGCTCGGCCAGGTCGTCCCCAAGGGGGGACGGACGATCAGCATCATCCTGCACGAGGCCGGGTACGTCAAGCCCGTCATGTCGGCGATCCAGGCGAGCGCGGACTTCAACCAGCAGCCGCAGCGGGATCCGGACAACGAGCTCGAGCTGGTGCTCAAGATCGAGGCCGAGAAGCCCGACGACGTGGCGAAGCGGATCAAGGCCATCTGCCACGACTGGCGCGGCCGCGTGAAGCTGATCCGCCAAAAGCGCGACAAGCAGCACACGGCGTGGCGCAAGGACGGGCTCGTCACGGAGGATGACAAGAAGCTCGCCGACAAGGAGCTCGAGAAGGTCATCAAGGGGTTGAACGCGGAGATTGATAACATGGAGAAGGAGACGCTGAAGAGTGCGCAGGTTTAGGCAGGGTCAATTTGACGATTGTATTGTACTTGGGGATGGATTTCTGGACTGAAAATAACGTGCAAGAATCAGCACTCAGTATTCTACTCCTCCACACTGGGGACAAGACCATTGAATCCGGATTCGCATCGATCATTGCGAGAAAGTGTATCTTTTTTGCTTGTATATGTACATTACAGGTGTTCTGTTGTTGTTACATCGCCTCTCATCTTTGCTTCTCTATTCCGAGAAGAGAGAAGTGAGCACATGCATTTTGTGGAGAGATCCCACGCCCTCCATGTCAGTCGTACACGCTCTCCTTCGTAACAACCTCCTCAAGCCTTGCTCTTGGGCACCTTGCCGCCGCCGCCGCCACCACTACCAGCCGCCTTGCCTGCACCCTTGCCCGCAGCGGCAGCAGCGGCAGCCTCCTGCGGCAACAAGCTCTTGATCTTGTCGTGGATCGTGCGCGAAGGCTGCCCGAACACACGCGTGTCCTTTTTCGTGTAGTTCTGCACGAGGGCGAGGGTATCGCCCAGCTTCACCGGCCGGGGCGCGTCGTACTTGCCCTGCAGCGCGGCCTCGAGCACCGCGCTCCGGACCTCCTCGCCAGCGCCCTTGCTGTAGTCTGGCGCGCCCTCGGCGGAGAACTCCTGCGTCCACGCCCGCGACTCGGCGCTTGGGAAGTACACGCCCGTGCCCTTGGTCGCGGCCTGGAGCGCCTCGTGCGGCAGGACGTGCGCCTCGTGCTCGAACGGCCGCCCGCCACCGAGGACCCGCGCGCTCGCGACCGCCGTCGCCGCGTACCCGAAGGGGCTCGACGTCGTGGCCACCGCGGGGGCGTAGCCATGCAGCGAGTCGAGGCTGAACGTCGGGTCGTACGTGTGCTCGACGCCCTGCTCGAGGCGGGCCACGTACGCGGCCTCCTCCTCAGTGACGAACAGCGGATCGAGCTGGCGCGCCTCCCTGCCATCGCCGCCCTCGCCGTCCTCGCCGTCGCCACGGCCCCCAGCACCACCACCGCGAATTCGTCGTACACGTCCGCCCCTGCCGCCGCGCCCGCCGCGTCCGCCCCTGCCTGGTGCTCCTCCACGCCCTCCGCGGAAGGTCATACCGCCGCCGCCTCCTCCTCCCCGTCCACCGCGGCCGCCGCCGGTGTAATTGTTACCGCCGCCTCTGTATCTCTGGAAGGAGTTGTCACCGCCGGACACGTTCAAGCCAACATTGAGCGACGTGTTCTGTGACGGCCGTGGTTGTCTGCTGTTGTAGTTGTAGTTCGCCCCAGGGCGCTCCGTGACGCCGCTCGGTCCGGGGGGGTTCCTCGGTCCGCTGGCAAACGCGCCGCCCCGACCGCCCCGGCCGCGGCCACGAAGGCTGGTCACGCGGATGACGTTCGGCGGTCCTCCTCCGGGTGCCAATGGTGACGACGACGACGCTCCCGGTCCCGTGCTTCGCAGGTTCTGCACGCTCTGCTCTGCCTTGCTGATCAGTCCGTCGACCGCGGCGCTCGCTCTCGAGCGGTTGTGTGTGTTGCTTGATGTCGATGATGTTTTGGTCGTCGGTCTCGGTGTTGACGGAGAAGGGTTGCTGCTGCCGCTGCTGCTGTCATCGCTCGCAGCAAGCCGCTGGGCCACGGAGAAGCTGCGGATCGAGGCTGCGATGCCGTCGGCGACCCGGGCGAGGTCTGGCCGCGCCGGCCGCGAGAGAGCCGTCTTCAGCGGATTCCGGATCATGGCGGACAGTCTCGAAAAGTGGCCACGCCGTGTTGAGTGTGAAGTGGTTACTTGCGAAGCACAGAAGCCGCCTGCACCGCCGTCGCCGTTACCTTGTGCCTGGGCTTTGGGGTGGGAGGTGGAATTTCTGCCAGAGTGGAGCATGGGGGTTCACGTTGCATGCATCAATGCGACTTGTGCACTTTGCGGGGCCGCCACCTTCTCGTGCTCTCCCACGAGACACTACAAGCAACTTTGCTCATCGAGAGTCAAGCCAACTTTTCAAATGGCGCCTGATGGAGCTTTTCAGATGATGGGATGCATTGCTCATATCTTTGAGCACGTACCCAGAAGCATGTCACGACGCTGAGTCGACTGCAAACAGCCGAAACCACGATTCATGTTCAGACTTGTGCTCATTAATCCATTGTCAAACTCCTAAATCGACATGCAAGTTTTATACAGTCTTGGTTTCTCTCAGCTCTGAAGAGGCTTGCCCATACCACCGTACGTTATCGTCTTGATGTTCTGGTACTCCTCAATACCATACTTGGAACCCTCACGGCCAAAGCCGGACTGCTTCACACCTCCAAACGGCGACGCTGGGTCGGAAATGAGTCCGGTGTTGACGCCGACCATGCCGACCTCGAGAGCCTCTGCCACCCGGTAGATGCGCTCAATGTCACGGGAGAAGAAGTAGCCAGCGAGACCGACCTCGGCGTCGTTGGCAAGGTCGACGACCTCCTGTTCCGTGGCGAAGGGGAACAGACCTGCCACGGGACCGAAGGTTTCCTCGCTGGCAATGCGCATCTCCTTGGTCATGCCGGTGATGACTGTAGGCTGGAAGAAGTTCTCGCCCAGGTCGGGCAGCTTCTGACCACCAACAGTGACCTTGGCACCCTTGCTTTCGGCGTCGCGAACGTGCTCCTCAACCTTGCCGACGGCACGGCCGTGGACGAGTGGGCCATGCGTGACGCCCTCGTCGAAGCCATGGCCGACCTTGAAGCCCTTGACCTTCTCGGCGAACTTGGCCGCAAACTCGTCGTAGATACCCTTCTGCACGTACAGCCGATTGGCGCACACGCAGGTCTGTCCCGACGAACGGAACTTGGAGGCGATGGCCCCGGCGACAGCGGCATCTACGTCGGCGTCGTCAAAGACGATGAACGGCGCGTTGCCACCGAGCTCCATAGACAGGATCTTGAGTGTGGAAGAGGACTGCTCCATGAGGATCTTGCCGACCCCGGTTGAGCCTGTGAAGGAGACCTTGCGGATCTCGGGGTGCGTGGTCAGGACCTTGCCAATCTCGGGCGTGTTGTCCAGGCAGGTCACGACGTTGTAGACACCCTTGGGGACACCAGCCCGGTGTGCAAGCTCGGCCATGGCCAGGGCCGAGAAAGGTGTTTCGCCGGGAGCCTTGACGACCGTGGTGCAGCCAGCCGCCAGAGCGGGGCCAACCTTGCGGGTGATCATGGCCGCGGGGAAGTTCCAGGGAGTGATGAGACCACAGACGCCCACTGGCTGGCGGATCGTGGAGACGCGGTTGCCGGCAGCAGACACGGGGATGGTGTCGCCGTAAATGCGGGGAGCCTCCTCGCTGAACCACTCGAAAAAGTTGGCTGCGTAGGCGACCTCGCCCTTGGCGTCGGCGTAAGGCTTGCCGTTCTCCCAGGTGATGAGCTTTGCGAGGTCGTCGGCGTTCTCGAGCATCAGATCGTACCACTTGCGCAGCAGCTTGGAGCGCTCGCGACCGGTGGTGGCCTTGAAGGACTTGAAGGCGGCCGTTGCGGCGCTGATGGCCTTCTCCGTGTCGGCGCCGTCCATCTCGGGGACTGTGCCGATGAGGCTGCCGGTGGAGGGGTCGTGGACCTCAAAGGTCTTGCCGGAGGCGGCCTTTACCCACTCGCCATTGACATAGCTGACATCGGTCTTGAGCAAGCTGGGGTCGTTGAGCTGCCAGAGGGTGCTGTTAGGCTACAGTGGCGACAGCAACGGCGTACATGAGCAGCAGTGACGTACCTTGGGAGCCATTGTTGAGGCACTGCGGCTGTAGATGCGCGGGAGTGCAGAGCGCTGGAACTGGGAC